CCCGGGGAAGGAAGGCCTGGGTCTGCCCCTGGCCCTCCCGGAGCCGGTGCCCTGTACCCCCCGGCCCGCCCCGGAGCCAAACCACTGGCAGCTCGAAGGGACGGCGGCTGGTGCTGAGACCCCAATTCATGGTCGAAGGTCAGGAGGGGAGCGTGTGGGGTAGAGGCTTGGGGGCAGGACGCGCGGACAACAAGCATCCGGGGAGATGTGGGACAGACGGGCAGAGCGGGCACAAACGAAAGCGCTGCTCTCTGCGCTGAGCAAAGTGGAGACGGTGCCGCCGGGGTGCGCAGGGACCCGCGCTGGGGTGGAAGCCCAGCAGCCCTACCTGGGGCGGGGGGGAGCCCATGGGGCTGCGAGGCGCAGGAAGGTGAGATGGCCCTGCCCTGGGCCGCATGTTATTCCCTCAAGGGCCGCCGATGAGGGGCAGGCCCCGTGCAGGGGGCTCTTGGCAGGGCACCCCCCCACCCCCCGTGTCTCTCCCACCCGTCCAACACCCCGTGGCCAGCCCGGAGGGGTTAATGGGCCTGGTCGCCCGGGACCTGCTCCCTGGGGCTGTTTCTTCGGAGACTGGCAGCCTCTCCAGCCCAGGCAGCGGCTCAGTCCCCAGGGCCCGACAGAGAGAACGGCGTGGAGGTGCAGGAGGGAGGCAGGATCCCAGCCACCGCTCAGCGCAGGAGGCCCGGCCAGGACGCTGGGTCGGCCTGGCGGCCAAAGCACCAAGGCAGGGAGGGGGCTGCTCTAACCAGGAGGGGAGGACACAGGAGGGAGGGCAGGTGCCCCAGGCCTGTGCAGGGCGCTGGCTCCGCCCTCGCATGGAGCCACCGGGGATCTGACGGGGCCTCTGGCAGAGCTGGCCTCATGAAGGAGCTGGCCGGCCTGCACGACCGCACCTCACTCCTGACTGCGCCTGACGCGACTGTGCGCACGACCGCACCTCACTCCTGACTGCGCCTGACGCCTGACTGTGCGCCTGACGCCTGACTGCACCTGACGCCTGACTGTGCGCCTGGCCTGGGCACCACAGCTTGCAGGGCACCAGAGAGCCCACAGACGAAAGTGGCTTGAGGTCGGACATGGGCCCGCTCCAGGCTGCTTGCTGTTTCCTTCTTCTTCTTATAGATTCTGCTCTTGGCTTTGTCCGCTGATGTAGCGACCACCTGCTCCTCTCGGGAGACCAACGGCTTGAGCACAGACAACACGCTGCCGGTGAGCCTGTGACCGCCGGCCGAGGCCACCGTGCCGCGTCCAGTCTGCCAACCGGCAAGATGGGGCCTATGGCCTCACGACTTCATTCTCTCAAGTTTGAGCTCGTAATTCCTTAAGCCGTGGCAGCTCTTCATGGCTAAGAGACTACTTTATAAAGTTGTTAGCAGGGCGTGGGTGCACCTCCCTCCTGGTCCCAGGAACGCTCCTGTGAGGCCTGTCACCACGTGGGTACCAATATGCCAAGGCCCTGGCTGCCCACGGAGGCCCTGGATCAGCAGGACCAGCCACACCTCACAGCC